TTTAGATCAGAATTGGCCATTATAGCAAAGAATTGGAATTGGCAATTATAGCAAAGTGTTAGTAAATATACAAACCACAGATGTTTACTAAGTTCACAAACTACCTTTATGTAGGTGTTGCCAATTCACAATTTGTTTTTATGACAATGATAAAGATGGAAATATCTGAATCAAAAAAGTGATACTGATGAATGTGGACTCTATACACAAAATAGTACTGTACACATTACTGATGACAGAATTCGTAAAATTTGAGCACGAAGAGATTTAAATAATTTGGATTATATACACAAATTAGTACTGTACACATATTTGCCCTCTTTATACCCTTCACCAAACTGTGTTTCAGGGTATTATGACTTTGTGCATATGTTTGTAACAGGCAAAAGAAATCGAGATAGACCCATGGTTCCTTTTGAGAATAAGCATAGAATAACTTTCTGAGTCGATTTATGCATGAAATGGTCCCTATATATCTTTCGATTTGCACGAAATTTTTTGGTATAGCTTACTAAATAAGGTCAAGAATAATGTGTGCAAAGTTTCGTGAAAATCGGTTCAGATTTAGATATAGCTCCCATATGTAAATGGTACACTGAAGCCTCTATAATTGGCACACCAAAATCGCTATATATCATTCCATTTGCATGAATTTTGGCATAGCGTAGAATGATGTGTGCTATGTTTCGTGAAAAACGATTCAGATTTAAATAGATTTTGGCATATCGTACTGAATTAGAATGATTGCGCAAAGTTTCGTAAAAATCGGTTCAGATTTAGATATAGCTCCCATATATATTTTTGTCCGATTTAATATAAATGGTCTCTATATATCTTTCGATTTGCACGAAATTAGGTACAGCCTACTAAATTAGGTCAAGAATGAGGTATGCTAAATTTCGTGAAAATCGGTTCAGATTTAGATATAGCTCCCATATATATTTTCATCCGATTTTATGTAAATGGCGCCCCTGAAAATCATTCGATTTTCGTTTCGTGAAAATCGGTTCAGATTTAGATATAGCTCCCATATATATTTTCGTCCGATTTTATGTAAATGTTGCCCCTGAAAATCATTCGATTTGCACGAATTTTGGCATAGCGTACTGAATTAAGTCTAGAATAGTCTAGCAAAGTTTCGTAAAAATCTGTTCAGATTTAGATGTAGCTTCCATATATATGTTCGTCCGATATAAATTAATCTCTGGTAACTTTCCTTGAATTCGGTTCATGGTAAATTTACACCATGTAATCAATGGATGTCTGATTGAGATTACATTTTAAACCGAGCAATATACCAAATAGCGTGTGTCAAGTTTGCTTTAAATCGATTTACGATAGGTTGCAGAATGACATGTGTAGGGATTGATGTTAGTCGGTTTAGATATAGATAAATTTCACATATTTAAATTCGTTCAATTTCATGTCAATGTTCCTTCAAAATGGCGACGTCTGTTAGGATACATATGTAGAATATCCCCAAAATGGTGAAGGGTATCATATAGTCAGCCCAGTCCGAATTTACTGCTTTCCTTACTGTCTTTTTCAGTTTGTGATAACATATTTACTTTGGAAAAATGTTATTTGGCTTAAAAAACACCGAAGTGAATAGTGTGAATTTTAATTATAAATCGTTTGATCATCTAGAAGGCACGTTAAAAGTCGGAGACTGGGATATGATAAATTTAGATACACCTTTAATTTTTATTCCCTGATCCTATTACTGCTTTACAATGGATACTTCTGCTTTGTTGGAAGATAACAAAAACATCCATCTAAGACCCTTTATGTACTGCGTTCTGTGCATTATTTTAATATAATTTTTTTCAAACCAAAACTTTGGGATTTTGTTCAAATAATCATAATCCATCATCCTTCAATATATTCCTAGGTCAGTACAAAATTATTGTTGTACAGCAACTGTTTTAGCGGAGTAAGATTGCAACACTTTACGTAGAATTTTTACATCTAATTTATATTTAACGCGACGTGTAAAGTTAATACTGGCAAATGCTCTGTTAATGTCGCTGCAATTATATGGACTTGGAGTGTATTCGGGATCCATTGATTTGCATGTTAATAAGCTAAAGCGAATTATTAATACCATAACACGCTTTATTTATAATCTACGTAGTGACAATCACGTGTCGGAATATGTTACTCGCTTTCTTGGATGTTCTTTTGAAAAATTTATTCAGTATATATATTACGGTGGACACTTAAGGATGTTATTTTCTTTCACACACTCCTCCAGAAAAATCAATATTTTGACACCTCGAATTTGGAATATTTGCGCGATGTTGGATTTTTCTCATAGCAATAATGCTGTACATTTAAAATTCTAAGTCAGTTACACATTTCATAGTAAAAATTACCATAATATGGATTTACTTTTTCTGCCTTTGGAAGGGGCAGCGAAGTGCCACGGGTCCAGCTAGTATATATATATATATATATATATATGGGAGCTATATCTAAATCTGAACCGAATTTCCCCAATTTCAATAGGGTTCTTGGTCCTTGGGCCGAACAAATGAGCTGTGTCAAATTTCATCCAAATCGGATTATAAATGCGACCTGTACTTTTTTGTATATCAAAATTTTTTTAAGAATTTCTTGGGAAAAAATTCGAAAAAAGTACAGGACAAACCAGTGAGCGGAGCAGTATAGTCGGACTGGGCCGACCATATGATACCCTACACAACTTCCACGAAAATCTAACTTTCTGTGGTACTACATTCTGAGCTTGGACAATACCTCGCACCCTCTTGACCGACTAGAGGTCAACAATTATTATTATTACTAATATTCAGTACAGCCCCCTCTAATTACTTGTCCAGATTTCCTTCACCGTGGGTTGTGTTGTATTGTTCGGCTTTCAATTGTGGCCTATAGATCGACTCGAAAAAACACAAAAAATAAGTTTTCGGTGCACTTCATCCCAATATTATCTGATCATCACCGAAAAATATAGGCATTGTCCTTGATCACAACCGGAACCTCACGGAACATTTCATAGTGATCATCGGTTTCTGCCCACTAGTGTGGTAATGGGTTACTAAATAATATTTGAAAACGTAAGCACCTCTAAATATTTAAGTGTAGCTCCCACATCCGAGTACATACAACAATATAATTGGTATTAATGTAAAGGTCAACCTCTGTTCTTGGATAAAATATCAACTTCTCGGGTCTATGTGCTTCAGGGGTAAATATATACGCTATAGAATACAAATTTTGTCATTTTTCACACAAAAGTCAGGGCCCTTTTGACCCGCTAATTATTGACCGATCTTTATCAAAACAGGCATGCTTATTCTTTGGCCCGATCCCCTTCTCCATGCAATTTCACGATGTTCGGGCCATTATTGCGGCCTCTGGAGCGACCAGAAAAACCGATAAAAATTTAGTATTTGGTCCATTTCATCCCCTAAATATTAACCGATCTTTCCCAAAAACAATAGGGATCTTCATTGGCCAGAACCCATCCTACATGCAAAATTTCGTGAAGATTGGTCCATAACTGTTGCCTGTATCGTGTTTACAAATTATAATGGACAGACGGACGGACACACATGTCTAGATCGACTCAGCTAGTCGAGATATGACGATCGATATACTTAAAGGTGGGTCTAGGACCAATATTTCGCGGCGTTACAAACTGTTGGTGCTGCACAAAGCTATAATACCCTGACAACATAGTTGGGTAGGGTATAATTATTGCACACCCTGACAATACGATCTCTCATATATCGGTTCAAGCCAATTAACTTATGTATTTTCATTCCCGCTCATTAAGTAAAACATGCGAGGTCAACGATTTCCGTTGAAACCACGTAGCCACGTTGGTTGGAAAATGTACATCGGACCTTAATAATAATATCGAAAATTATAAAAGGATAGTTCGAAACATGCACAAATGACGTACCCTCAAAGAAGATCATAAAAAAGTGGACCGCAATGAGTCATTTCCGATATCAAGCATTCTACGTGGAACTGCAATGTTTGTGCAAAAGTTTAATGATAAATCTCAAAATATTGCGAACTCTATCGTGGGCATTGAAAAAGAGCAACATTTTTCGGAACTTTTGTGTAATTCTATTTTTTATTTTATTATTTGGATTTAACATTAACTTTTTTCTCTCTCTCTCACACATTTACAACTTATAATGTTTTCCCTTCACTGTTCAAATAAATATATATTTCATTTTTAATATCCTTAAGGACATATTTAACAGCACTTAACTGGCGAAGAAAAATTGACATTCTTTTTTATTGTAACACCCTTGCCATGCTGAAGAACATTAACATTGTCTTGTTACATCTTTTTTTCTTTTCCCCTTCTCACTCCCACAGTAAAGATGTACGTCTACCCGTCCAATTACAAAGAGCCATGGCTGCCGAGGCAGAGGCAGCACGAGAAGCTCGTGCCAAAGTTATTGCCGCCGAAGGTGAACAGAAAGCCTCAAGAGCATTGAGGGAAGCCTCCGAAGTTATTGGCGATTCACCGGCAGCATTACAGCTACGTTATCTCCAGGTAAGTGAATGGCGGAATGAAATATTGACATTTGTTATGTGGCCGAATTTGATGAATAATGTTCTGTTATCTTTTTTGCAGACATTGAGTGCCATTTCGGCTGAGAAGAATTCAACCATTGTATTCCCGTTGCCAATTGATCTGATAACGTATTTCCTCAAGTCGAACGATGCTGATACAATAAAAACCGCCGCCAATACAGCCCAGGCCATTGCTGACCGTGAAGCGGTTCCCACACCAGTCATTGTACCATCGACAGTGGCTGGAGCTGCATCGATGATGGCGGGTATGGGTCCCATACCGACAACAAGCAACAATGTGAACAATGTAAATCATGAGACCAATGGCATTGTTACTGCAGCTATGTAAAATTTCGGTTGAGGAATTCGAACAGTCGGAACCAGGAAATAAAAGAGGGACAGAGAGAAGCAGCAAGCGAGCGATGTTGTAGCAACAAATAAAAAAAAGAAAAATATAAAATGTTAGTGTCAGTCAGTCAGTGCAAATATTTGAGATGTACCCAAATACAGAAACAACAACAATAAATACAAATAAGATGGCATTTACTTATGTATACAGATGAACATAATTGTCCACTCCCCGGTTGAAACCATTCTCCTAAATTTCCTCCATAATTCCCTACAAAAGAACATAACTTGATTATCCCTAATAATAAATGAATGAAGGAATGAATACACGATTCCCTTTTAAAAAATAGCGAAAAAGAGAAGAATAAGAGAAGTCAGAAAAAAACAATAATATTAAACAAAAAATAACAACAAGACCCCTCCAGAACTTACGATTTCACAAAACAGGCAATACAAGGATAACAAACTCAATAAAATCTGTAAACAATAACCGACCACACCACTACACTCATTAATTATTCAAACACAAACACAATCAAATACAATGCTGTTCACACACTATCATATTGCGTACATTAGAGTATGCCGAAACATTAATTATTTATGATTGCTGTATACATTCAATCAGAATTTGTTGTGGACGTTTTGTTGCTGTTTTAATTCTTGGTGAACTTGTTTTGTTTATGAAATGAAAATTATCGTATTTATGTCATGTTTAAAAAATACTGTTTAAGTGTAAGGGATCTAATATTTCATAAATTGCATATGTGATGTTTTGATTCAGATATTTCCTATACGTTTATATTCTGTGGATATAATGGTTTTAATATAAATTTTTTGTGACATATATAAGGTTACAATACATAGATGTTTATACCCTACACAACTATGTTGTCAGGGTATTATAGCTTTGTGCTGCCCCAAGAGTTTGTAACGCCGCGAAATATTGGTCCTAGACCCACCATTAAGTATACCGATCGTCTTATCTCGACTAGCTGAGTCGATCTAGACATGTGTGTCCGTCCGTCTGTCCATTATAATTTGTAAACACGATACAGGTCATAGTTATGGACCAATCTTCACGAAATTTTGCATGTAGGAAGGTTTTTGGCCAGTGAAGACCCCTATTGTTTTTGGTAAAGATCGGTTAATATTTAGGGGATGACATGGACCAAATATTTAAATTTTGTAGGTTTTTCTGGTCGCTCTAGAGGCCGCAAATATGACCCGAACATCGCGAAATTTAACATGGATAAGAGGATTGGGACAGAGAATATGCATACCTGCTTTGATAAAGATCGGTTATTATTTAGCGGGTCAAATGGACCCTGACTTTTGTGTGAAAAATGACAAACTTTGTATTCTATGGCTTATATATTTACTCGTGAAGCATATAGATCCGCCAAGTTGATAGTGTATCCAAGAGGAATGGTTGACCTTCAAAATGACTCCAATTACACTGTCGTATGTACTCGGATGTGGGAGTTACACACAAATATTTACAGGTGCTTAAGTATTCAGATATTATTCAGTAACCCATTACCTCATTAGAGGGCGGAAATATATCGCTGATTTCTTTAAAATTTTCCATGATGTTCCAAATATGGTCAAAGATGATGATCTGATTAAAATTTTGGGATGAAGTGGACCGAAAACCTAATTTGTTTGTGTGTTTTCTAGTCGAATATAGGCGAACATCACAACACAACCCACCGTGAAGGGAATCGGAATAAACATCCGAGTTCCGTGGTAGTTGTGTAGGGTATCGTATGGTCCCGACCGTTATTTGTAATTTTAAGATTACATTTTTCCCCGAGTGGCTATCTGGTCCCCATATAAAGTTTTCGAGCCGCTATATTGGAGGTTTTAGGCACATTCTACAACCAAACGGCTATAAATTTATAAACAAGTAAAAAAGTGTCTATCGCGTTTTGCGGATAGATATATACCCTTAGTCTATGGTTGGCGGAGAACTATGGAATTATATATATATATGTTTTATTATTCCTTGTATAAAATGTAAATGTATTAATGTAAGAGTTGGCCATCTGTTTTAGAAATACCAGAAGAGGTTGTCCTATAGGCCCCATTTCGGATTTGAAGTAGGTTCGGTACCTCTCTATCTGCAAGCCCCCAGGCTTATATCCAGTGTTGCCAAAACTTTGTTAATAAAAATGCTAGATTTTGTTTAAAAAAAATGCTAGAAATTGCTAAAAAATTTCAAAAGTGTCAGATAAAAGTGCTAAAAATGTATAGAAGGAATAATTAAAAAAGTTTAACCCATTCGAAAGCTACAACGGAATTTTTATTATTGTTTAGAGTATTTTTATTGTTGTTTAGTATAATTTAAGCATGGATTTAGATATTTATTATTTTAATGTATATATATATGGGAAATTACAAAAATCTTTTAAATTCCTTGAAGCTGAGGTTTGCAAGGTTATAACTCGCGAAATATGAACATATTGCATATAATTTAAATTCATTTCTATAAAATGAAGTGTTCTTGTCAAAAGCTTAAAATATTGGTAATAAATAATAAGTTGCGTGGAAGCTGCAATGGTGGTAATGTAAAAAAATGGTGAAAATGTGTTGAAGCCAACGAGTTTTTTTGTGTTCGTTCCTGATTTGTGGCTCAACTACACAACGCACGCACATGTGATCAGTGACTAAGTTGCAGAATACCCCATGGACAATATGATTCTAATCTATGAGTTTTCGATATAATCACTGCATCCACCCAAAAAGGATGCTGACATTTTGAAGCCGGATTTCGGTGTTTTTTGAAATTTTCTTATAATTAGGATGCGCATCCAGATAATGGACTAAACTAATTATATGATTGTAGAACTCGTGATTTTGCTTCGTTTAGTGTATATCTCATGAATGTGCTCACCGTAGCTTCTTTGCAATTGGGTTCCAAAGACGAAAATTTGGTACGTAAATTTTTATAAAAAAACATATTTTTTGAGTCTAAAATTATGAAACTCCTTTTAAATTCCGTGGAACCGTGATTTTAGGTTTTTACGTGCCCGGATCTAATGAGCCCATCCATGTTCAATTTAGCCCAATAAAACGGCGGATATAGGTACCTTGAATGTGGGAAAAACTGCAAAAACTTATTTTGACAAATTCGCGTTAATCGCATTTTTCTTCGAATTGATTTCACATACATTCATTCTTGTGTTACCATATTCGTGAATCTGTGTGAAAATATGTCAAAAATATATCGATACGCGAATAATATGCGTATTTTATCCAAAATCGATTGTGGGGGCACTTCCGCGGTTCTTAACCGATCCTTTTAAAATAGGTGTTCTTTTGTGTATTTTCATAGGAGATTACTGAAATCGGATGCGCATAAAAATCATATGAACGTTGCGTGATTTTTAGCCATTTTTAGAGTTTTTGCATAGTAAAGTGCATCGACCGCTAAATTAAATATCGAAAAATGCTTAATTATTGAAAGACATTGATTCGGTTTATACGAAAACCGCATGCGCATGAACTGATTTCAACTAATACGCGAATAGCATGCTTTTAAATATTGATAATTTTTATGTATTGTAACTGAAATATATTTAGTCATATTTACAGTCGAAACTCTTATCCGATGAATATACCGATATTTAACAATCATCTAAAAGAATTTGAAGAAAAAAGCGTCGCATATTTTAGAAGATTAAGGCAAAACCGTATTCTCACAACCATACTAAAAAAATCGAAAATTCAAAAAACATTTCGATTTAATTAAACAAATAATTTATTTTATTTTCACATATCTTCATGCTTCTATTTGTTTTTCGCATCTATTATACCGTATTTCATCGTGATTTAACAAGTATGCAAAAAAAAAAAAAAAAAACAAATGTGTTTAACCATTTGTGAATAAATTCGCGAATTACAACAACTAGGAATTAATTTAATTTATATTTGAAATACAAGATTTAAAATCGCTAAAACTTTTGTGTGCAGCATCCGAATTTGTGAACGCGAACATATTTCGAATCAGCATATTTTTCTTAACCTATGTACCAAAAATCAAGAATTTGATCGCAAAAAAATTTTTCCAATTTTTTTATGGAATTTTAAAAGAATTTTGTAATTTCCCATATACAAAAGGTTATTTTACAAAAAAAGCAACGTCCACAAACCATTTATTTCAACGTCATTTACTCCATATCATAAAACACCCACACACACACACAGAGAGACTCTACATGAAAACTGTGCCAAACTTTTATGAAAACTCTATAAACACAAAATAAGCTCTTAATCAAAATAATTGAAAAAATCAAATTCGCATTTTTTCATTAAAAAAAAACAACAGCAACAAAACATTATCTAACAAAACTCAGCCATGCCAACAAATAAAAAAAAATCACAACTAAAAGAAAACAAATAAAAATTATATAAAAAAAATATAAGCGAAAGGATGAACGTAGTTATGAATCAAAAAAGAATTTAAATTTAAACTAAGAAAGCCAATACGAATTAAACAAAAACAATAACCCCACATAAATTAAAAAAAAAACCGACATTTTATTAAAATGAAAATGTGAAATAAAGGAAGAGATAAATTATGAGCAAAATCTAATAAATTATATTACAAAAAGGGAACAGTTTTAATTAGTCAATACAATTGCCATTTAAAATCAAAATCGTATCGAATTCAATCCAATATTAAAATGGCTAATCATCTATTTTTAATTCTATACTTAAAAATAAAATAAAACAATTATCATAAATCAAAATTTATTTTTCCAATTACAATAAATTGGTTTCAAAACTATAGATAAAATTTATTTGTTTTTGGTAAAAATATAATTTAAAATATTTAATGTTATTTATTATAGTTAGAAACTATTTTGTTATATGTTAATTATTATGCTTAGTTAAGTATTAAAAATGTATGATTGGTGAAATTGTGGGTCAGTCTGTCAACATAGAACCCTATTTTCCCTTAAAAATATTAAATTAAAATTAGGTATTATTTGTTTT